ATTGTAAGAATCTGCTCTAGGTTAGGCATTCTGTTTTGTTGTTTCCTGTCGTCTGTCTTATGACTTATGATATATCCTCCCTGGGAATCAATCTGCCTAGAGTGATTAACACCAAGATTAAAACTAGACCAACGATCAAGAAATAAAGAATACCCCAATCAAGGATCTGCCAATTTAGACAAACAAGTTAACAGTAAACAACAGCCTAATCAAGGAAGCACCAAGAATACTTTAATACTCTAATCAACACTGACAAGGCAAGCCACTACGGTAGTATATAAAAAGGGAGTAAACCCCACTTCTTTTTAAGACTGATCATGTTACCTACTTGGATAATGAGACACCTGCAAGAAAACATTCAAGCTCAGGGGCTGCAAGGACTCCAGAGTGACTGTCTGTTGATTTCATTGGGTGGGTAGTTCAGTCTCCTGAATGTCTACTTTAATATCAATGGGGAAGCCATATTTACTTAACAATCAGGTTAGATGATGACCCGGGGTGTGACACAAAGGCAACACAATCAGATAATCAATAAGAGTTCCTTTAATAACTCCAACTTTGCTCCCAATGTCCAGGTTACCTTCTGGCTGGAGAAAAACTCTCCCAGGAATAGCCTTTGACTGCAGAGAATTAAGTCCAAAACATGGTCAACATAAAATGTAACTTTAAGTCCAATGAAGCCAAACTGAGGTAATTAGTTTGGCAGGGCAGGAGCAAGAATTCCAGACATGAAGGCATGGCAAAACTCACATGGTTCGAAAGACGCCAGGAACATAGACAAGCAACGACAACACAGGATAAAGTCACATTCCCAGCAGCTGCCATAGTCAGCATTCAGTTCTTATAAACTTTCATTCCCAGGTGTGGCTAATGAAGGGAATCAGGACCTTTTCCTCCCCTGTAAGCCACACAACCCACGGTGCTCTCTTCTCCATTCCTCCCTGCATGCCCTAAGATGAAGGGGGGGCTGGGTCTTCCTCTGAACTCCCTCCCCCTTGTTCTATCTCTCCCCTGCTCTGCCCAGCTGGACTTTGCTTTTTCACATCCTTCTCCACAGCCAACGGAGCCACACTCCCATTCCCTGTCAGCTGTTCTTCCTCCTCAGATTCAGACTCTGACAGGGGCATGACAGGTTACTGCAATGATTCATCTAACAATTGTGGCAAGAAATGTCATAAAATGGGGTTAAATTCACATAATAAATGTCTCACTTAGCAGCAGAAATTTTGGGCTCAATTGTGGTCATGTCAAGGACTACCTGCATTCATTTCCTTGGCTCACCTACAATGATATGGTGGGATTCAAAAATTTTTTGCTACCGGTTCTGTGGGTGTGGCTTGGTGGGCATGGCGTGGCTTGGTGGGCATGGCGTGGCTTGGTGGGCATGGTGTGGCTTGGTGGGCATGGCAGGGGAAGTATACTTCAAAATTCCCATTCCCTCCCCATCCTCCTAACCTGCTTTCCAGCTCCGTTCTCCTATGCAGGGCAGCAGAAAAAAACCCAGCCGATCAGCTAGAACTCAGGAGGCAGAGAATAGATGGGGGTGGGGTCCGTCAGAGGCAGTATTTGCCGGTTCTCCGAACTACTTCTGCTACCGGTTTTCCAGAACCGGCTGAATACCACCTCTGGTTCGTATACAGCATTCATAGGGAAGAGCAATTTTCCATATTGCTTTCTATGTTTTTTTTTTAAATGTTTTGTGTTCTTGCTAATAAATGGTTAGGGTATGTTTAATGTCGGAGATCAATTTGTGGCTCTCTTCAGATACTGAGCATACACAAGCACTGTCGTTGGAAACGAAATGGGTAAAACAACTGATGGCCAGGTGTGATTATTGTACTAATCCCAAAAGGGGTTACTTCTCACAATCAAGAATCAAAAGTTTGCTGTTGTGGTAGAATGATCTTAAGCTCCTTCTACATTTTTAAATTAGGTGATGTTCAGGTTAGCCATGCTATGGAACTCAGGAACCTCTCAAAAAGTTACGTTGTTGTCTTGGACGCATCCATTATTCCGTACCTTGGTATAGACGGGACCTCTATAACACAACTTCTCTCTTTTTCTTTCTCTGTCTCTGGAGAAACATAATCATGGGGGAGGGAGGACTTTCCAAGGTTACTTTTTACTGAGTTGGCAGCTACCCTGGAATCTTTGGCATATTCCTTGGGGGGAAAACATTGTACAGCATCTGACCCAGAATGTAGGGCTGCGTAAATTCTAATGCTAAACTGGTCTTCCCTACAGAAGGGAACATTCTCTCCTTAGAAAGGGTGCTCACACAGATAACACTCACCCTTGCCCTTCTTTACAAATTCTCTTACTGTAAACCTTATAATAAAAGTAGAGCTAGCATTTGTGACTTTGGTTTCTCATTGTCTCTGCCCATCTGGTTCGATCTGACATAGAAGGCATGCTCCACGTCTCATTTTTAAAGCAAGTACATCTGCTGGGACCCAGAAGGTATGTCTTCTGTGGTGGCATTTGTCCTCTAAATTGAAGTTGATCTAACCTTCCTATCCTGTTGTTGTTGTTGTTGTTCAGGGTTAGGTGGGATATAACCTAGAGTGAAATTGTATTAATGTGTTAGGTATGTGTTCCTCCTCGGCTATCTTAATCTTTTACTTGTTTTATTATAATGAATTAGGTTTTTTTAAACTTGTTTGGTACCCACTGTTATTATGAGTTAGGAATTCTGAAATGCTTTACTTTATCAATAAAGTAGTGATACTATTCTATTTCTTTATGAGTTGAGAGGGCCTTGTAAACATAACTGAAAATAAATAACTATATAACTACCAGTAGGTATCACAGACTCATGATGCATCTCCTCAAATTGACAGCTGGCCTCCAGTTGTTTCATGTAGATGTTAAACAAAATGGAAGAAAAGTTTGAGCTCAAACCTGAAGTGGTCAAGGACATGGTTTTCCCTCCCATCCCCACCACTGCCCACTAAGGAAGGTGTATAACCACACCCAACCCTTAGAGATGATTGAGAAGAATATAATGCTCAATGCTATCAAATGTCACAGAGAGTTCTTATAGGTCCTCACACTCCCTCCCTCCAAGTCCCACCACAGATTCTCCACAAGACCAACCAAAACTATTTCAGTGTCCTTGTTATGTCTAGAAGGGCTAGTTGTGACATGATAGCAATCTTCAAATATCTGAGGGGCTGTCACAGTGGAAAGGGAAACAATCTATTCGCCAAAGCACTGAGGGCAGGATAAGAAGTAATGGATGGGAAATTATCAAGGAGAGATCCAACCTAGAATTAAGGAGAAATTTCCTGTCAGTGAGAATAATTAATCAGTGGAACAATTTCCCTCCAGAAGCTGTGAGTGCTTCATCATTGGAGGTTTTTAAGATGACATTGGACAGCCATTTGTCCAGAAATGCATAAGTAGGGGATTGAATTAGAAGACCTCCAAGGTCCCTTCTAATTCTTTTATTCTTTATTCAGTCTGAAATCCAACTAACCCTTCCCTTCCCAAAATGCATTCCAGTGAGTGACATTTAATGCAACTGTCAAAATGACATCTAACCTACATACATTTATTTGACATTAAATATCCTGAGCTTATTTATTTATTTATTTATTTAAAATATATATTTTTCATACCTTGGTTGGAACTTGGTGCAGTTTATAGATCAGTAGAAAGAAGCAGCCCCGTTCTTTATCTTTCAGACTAAGACACAACATCAAAGAAAAAAGGAGCTGAGAAATAAAATATTATAAAATGATCCCAGTTTCTCCCTCTGCCACAACCTGGTAGAATATTTGCTGGGAAACCTTTGAGAAGGAAGAGAAGGCTTGATGGAGTAATACATATTTTTAGTCTTTAAAGTGCCTCAAGACTCTTTGATGTTCTCACTGCTGTAGACTGATCAGCTACTCCTAATTATCTTCTTCTGATGTTACTGTTCTTTGTTTTCACAAATTCCAAGCATAGGATCGAACATGTGGGAAGAAGGATCCTACTCTTCACCCAGACAACCATCTGCCCCTGTGTTTTTTAAGAAGAAACTTTTAAGATCCCTTCCCAGTTTTAAAAATTATGCAGGACCCCAAAGGACCTTTTGTTTGGATGGGTTATATATCTATCAATATTTACTGTATTAAAAATTAACATATGGTATGAGTGGCTAGAGGAGAAAAGGAAAGAATATGTATAAAATTACGTAAGAGTTGCAGGAAATGTATATATAAGGAATTATAAAAAGGTAAATATAAATGTGCAAATATTAAAGAAATATACCAGGAATTGAAAATGAAAATGAAAGTATTACTATGTAAATAGGAAAAAAGCTGACTCTGATGTACTGTCAAAAATGGAAATGGAAATGGAAACTACTGCTTCTCACAATTGTTTGATGGGATTTTTAAACATTTGTTGTTAAGTGAGTTTTGCCCCATTTTATGACCTTTTTGCCACAGATAAGTGAATAGCTGCCATTGTTAAGTGAACCACGCGGTCATTAACCACATTTGCCTTCCTCCATTGACTTTGCTTGTTGGAAGCCAGCTAGGAAAGTTACAAATGGTGATCACATGAACCTCGACAGTACAACATTTGGCTAAATAAATAAGAGTTCTAGTATTTAGCACTAAGTGGATTTTTCAATCCTAAATTATTATCATCATTCCTCCTTTTCTTCAGGAAATTCCAAGCAATGCACACAGCACGACTAGTAAGCTCTCCTCCATTTTTCCCCCCCTCAAAAGAACCGTGGTAGAAATTGTTCTAAGAAATAGCAATTTGTCCAAGACAAGAGTAAGCTTGGAGAGTAAGGATGGCCTTGAATCTGGCTCTTTTTGATCTTAGTCCAACATATGCCACGCTGGTGGAACCACAGGTAGTCCTTGACTTATGATCAGTTCCTTAGTTTGTTCAAACTTCTGACAGCCACCGTCCCACCTCATGGTCATGGGATTCCATTTTTGACAGTCAGAAACCAGCCCTTATTTTAAGGCCATTTGCATCATTTTATAGTCACATGACCATGGTTTACTATGCTCTTTGCCAAAACCCGACATTTGCTTCCTCTTTCCAGCAAAAAAAAACAAAAACACCCATTACGGACAAAGGGTTCATTGAAAGACCTTGACGTTCACTTATCAATTGCCTCCTAAATAGCAATAGCAATTAGACTTATATACTGCTTCACTGTGCTTTATAGCTCTCTGTAAGCAGTTTACAGAGTCAGCCTATTGCCCCCAACAACCTGGGTCCTCATTTTACCCACCTCGGAAGGATAGAAGACTGAGTCAACTGTGAACCTGGTGGGATTCGACCTGCCAAATTGCAGGTAGCCGGCAGGCAGCAGAAATAGCCTGCAGTACTGCACTCTAACTACTGCACCACCGTGGCCATAAATGTTGTAAAATGAGGCTGATCACGTGATGACCTGCTTAACAACCAGCACATCCAATTTCAATTACTGTCATAAGTCCAGGACTCCCTATCAAAAGTTTTCTTTCTTCGAGAGCCTGCAGATCATCATGGCCATTCTGAGTTTACAATGCCAAGCTAGGGTGATCAATAGCCCACCTTTATGATACAAAGGACATGCCAGCATTTTGTTCAGTGTTTGAAGGCCTCCATCTCAGCTTCCTGAGTCTATATTCTGGACCTGCTAGGGTTAATTATTGCTGACAAATAACAGCATTTGTGTGAATTCTTGATATTCCCAATGTCTGTTTGTGGCCTGATACATAAAATGCATAATGCTTGAAAATCCGCGATAAGTATGTTTTTATTCTGCCTAATAAAAGCTCTTCCTAAATAGTATCTATATTTTTAAAAAATGTTATGCATCAAGGATTATCAACAAAAACAGTATGAATAGGATTTTTTTTAGTATCCTTCCTTTTATTACAAGGTATGGAGAAAACAGGGTGAAGCCTAGCAGCCCAACGGATCATAAATGATCTCTGAAATACATTTTGTGTGTCATCCCACCCCCCACCCTCCAAGAGGTGGTATTCAGCAGGTTCTGACCATTTCTGGAGAACCGGTAGTGGAAATTTTGAGTAGTTTGGAGAACCGGCAAATACCACCTCTGACTGGAGATTTTACAGCATCCTTCCCCTGCCACGCCCACCAAGCCATGCCCACAGAACCAGTAGTAAATAAAATTTGAATCCCACCACTGCTGCCCCCGCTCTTAAAGTCATAGCAAGCAACTTCCTTTGTAGTACTATTCTTTTCTCCTTCCAATATTTTTCTCTTTTGTATCTCTTTATATTCATTGATCGTAGAAAAAGAAGCTGGTTTACAAAGGGAAGAAAGATGTTGTATTGTTCACTGGGGGATCATAAAACATGAGTTGTCCCTTTATTTAAAGACAAGATCTTATATATCAAAGGTTACAAGGCTTATATGACAGACCTTTGTGTAGTGCATCCTGAGATAGGATGTTCAAGCAGAAGCAGAAGAAAAGAAAAGAATAAACACTAAAGAGTTGATACTAAATTACTAAAATGCTATTGTGTCCCTATTCAATCAAAATAGTGAATTTGCTTGCCGGTTTAAGCTAAATGTTGCTGTTTCGAGTCAATTGCATGAAGTACATCCACTTAGCAGCCATACGCTATAAAAAAAAACTAATGCAAGCTTTCTCTATGAAATCAAGGGGGGTGTAATTGCCTATAAGAATATCTTCTAAAATACTAATTTTCAACCACTGATTATGGGCATTTACTTTGAAGAACTGTATCAGGGTCTCTTTCATTATCTTAAAAGCATGGTTGAACAGTGTTCCTTCAGAAGTATGGCCTTTGAGAACTTAATCAATGCTAGAAAAAGAAACATGAACCAATAAACCTTAAAAAACAGTAGGTTTGCAAAGCAAATGTCATTCAGCAGAGACAATAATATGCAAAAATGGGGACCATCGTCTCTTGACTTTCTTCTTTTCCCACTTCCTCAAATTCTGGGGTTTTTTTTTTTTTTTCATTCTCATTGAAGAAAAAGTTACTGGGTTATGCCCATTCTTCTCATCCCTTCTAATATGAATAAAGCAGGACTGTCAAATTCTCAGCCCACGGGGCTGGATGCATCATGCACTGGCAACACCCACACCTGGTTTAACGAAGGGGGGGGGAAGTCCCAATATGTCACGTGATGCTGCCATGACAATGTTAGTTTGACATCCCTGGAATAAAGGATTCTTACAGAAACAGGGACGTGGTTGGCTCAGTGGCTAAGATGCTGAGCTTGTCGATCAGAAAGATCGGCAATCCATTGGTTCAAATCCCTAGCACCACGTAACAGAGTGAGCTCCCATTACTTGTCCCAGCTTCTGCCAACCTAGCAGTTCGAAAGCATGTAAAAATACAAGTAGACAAATAGGGACCACTTTGGTGGGAAGGTAACAGCGTTCTGTGTGCCTTTGGGGTTTAGTCATGCCGGCCACATGACCATGGAGACGTCTTCGGACAGTGCTGGCTCTTCGGCTTTGTAATGGAGATGAATACCACCCCCTAGGTCTGGAAACATGAATGTAGTAAAAATTCTCTATTCAGCTACAAGAATTGTTAAAACTTTTAAGGATAAGGGGAAATTTAAGGAAAAAATTCCAAAAGCAGATTCCTATGATCTTGGAATCTCAACACACCACAGGTAATCCTGGACTTACAACAGTCCATTTAGTGACTGTTCAAAGTTACAATAACACTGAAAAAAGGGACTTATGTCTGTTTTTCATATTTATAACCATTGCAGCATCCCCATGGAAAAATTAGGATGCTTGGCAACCAACTCATATTTATGATGGTTGTAATGTTCCAGGGTCATGTGATCACCTTTTGTAACCTTCTGACAAGCAAAGTCAATGGAGAAGTCAGATTCACTTAACAACTGTGTTACTAACTTAACAACTGCAGTGATTCACTTAACAACTGTTGCAAGAAATGTCATCAAATGGGGCAAAATTCACTTAGCAAATGTTTCACTTAGTAACAAAAAAATTGGGCTCAAAGTCGAGGACTGTAGTTAGGTAGGAAGGAGATCACAAGCAGTGGTGGGCTGCTACCAGTTCGCAATGGTTCAGGTGAACCAGAAGTTAATTTTACATCTGGTTCGCTGAACCAGTAGTTGCAACGACTGGTTGGTCTTGCCCACCCCACCCCTCCTAGGAGACTCCACGTTTTGGATCCCAGGTAAGTGCAGTGTCAGGATTCCGGCAGTTACTCCAATTAAATCATGAGCCTCGAGCCACACTCCCAAAATTTGAAAGGATTTATTAGAAGTTAACATGCTGGCATTAGCCTGGGCGTTGCCGATTCTGAGATACGTAATTCATTGTCACCCTTGATCCTGCTTTTCCCCCCACCTCTCTGGGTGTATCATCCAACGAAACATGTCCATAGCCAAGAGTCATCAATCATGCTCTCCAATTAGATTTTTGCGCAGCAGCAGCAGCTTCAGTCATCTATCAGTCTCTGAAGAAAATATGAATGGAATGTACTTTCAATTCCACACTGCTGCCTGCTCTTTGAAATCCCCCCACTTCTTTCTGTTGACAATGATAAAACATGTATACAAAATGTTTTATGAGTTGACATGCAGGGCTCGTGCGGAGGCGAAAAGCAGGCCTCCCAGAGGCTCCAGAAGGCCGGAAACAGGCCCGTTTCCAGCCTCCAGAGAGCCTCAAGAGGCTGGGGTGGGGGGAAATGGGCCTCTCACTTCCACAGAACCTCCGGAGCCCAGGGAGACTGCTTTTGCCCTCCGGGAGACTCAAGGAAAGCTTCCAGAGTTCAGCGAGGGCAAAAATGCTCTCACGCCATGGTGCAGAGGCCGAATAGGTCATGCCCACCATGGCCACGTCCACCCACCAACCAGGCAGAGAACCAGTTGCTAAATTTTTTGAAACCCACCTCTGATCACAAGGAACAGTCTCTTGACACTGGACCTGTAGAGAGCCAGCCCATTTGCAAGGCATTAAAAACCTGGATGTTCCCCAAAGCATTTGAGATAGGAGTTAGCCAAGCCTCATTATCTGATTGCTTTGCCTTAATGATTTGAGAAAGGATTGTTTTTTTTTACCCTAGCCATGAATATTGATTTTACGAATTTTGTGATTAGGATTTTAAACAAAGCCATATAAATTGTTTCAACAGATGAATTTAAATAAATAAATGGCAGAAAGAGGAAAAGGGAAGAAGAAATACACTGTAATAAAAAAAGGGATCCTCTCCGTGTCTGATTTTCTGGTTCATAACAAAGAGTTATTTGAAAATGTCGCCAGCACAAGGGTTGGAACTGTCCACATACATTAATGAAGAAATCAAAGGTAACATAGATACAGTTGGACACATATGTCTACATAGCCAGCTCTTAGAAACCTCAAGTAGAGGAGACAATCAAAACTGAGAGCATAGGGACAAAATTAATGGGGAGAAAAAAATCTAAGCAAGCTAACAGTGACTGAGCATATTGAATTCTTCCTGTTTGTCACATGCAGAAAAATGTATCTAATATCATGATGCAATATAGTGACATCAAGACATATGCTATGGGAAGACCGATAAAGAAATTGATACCAGCAAGGGGAGGGAAAGGTGATTTATTAAAATGAAAATAAAACCAATTAAAATGGGAGGGGAGGCATGCTAATTAAGAGAAATTTGCAAAAGATTAATGGAAACTTGGGATATTCTAGCCATCTTGTTGCTTCTGACTAAGCCTGAACCTAAAGTTATAAGGAGAAAGCTAGCAAATTAGAGCTCCAGTTTTCATAACCGGTGTGTGTGTGTGTGTGTGTGTGTGTGTGTGTGTGTGAGAGAGAGAGAGAGAGAGAGAGATCTTTAGGTTTTTAACTGTGCATCAATTTTTTAAAGCAAACTGCTGATTAAATGCTATCAAGTGGCTGTTGCTTCTACATAAGCCTTGTTTTTAAATGATTTTTTTTTCTTGCTTTGTCCATACTGGAAAATCTCAGTGTAATCCTAAGTAATAATTTAGTTGGTTTAAATGTTTTAAGCTTTTTCAAAGGCCAGTAAACCAAAACATACTGGCTACTCAAAATTGGAAGCTGTGGTTAATTAAGGACTTCCTGCTTTGATTTCAGCTCTTAAGAAGGATCAGCAAAGAGATTGCATGTACAGGCAAAATGCTTCCTCCCTTCCTGCCTTAATAAGCCAAAATAAGATAACGTACCTTGACCTTTTAGAATTAGCTTTCAAATTACTTATCATCAAATCATTTGCTTCTTCAAACGTATTATTTTACCTGTCTAAAATATAGCTGTTCTCCGTGTGTATGGATGGATAGTAAAAGAAAGAAAGAATGAATGAAAGAACCAGCGAAAGGACACAGACGAAAACTATAGCCTGCACAAAGCCTAAATGGTATGTTTCGAATTCTACAGGAATGGGAAAGTCGTAAAATTATAGCTATGAGTATAAATAGGAGTTGTGTAACACTGAGAACTTCCTATTAGATAAGAAGTTGCAAAGATCAAGCATTTTATTATTCGTATTTAATACAAGCATAAATCCAAGTGTCACTGAAAACTAGGTATCACAGGCTATGTTCTGGTTTACATCTAAACATCAGAAATTGAACATGTAGTAATACTATTGTAGGAAGAAAAATTCATCTGGTTCAGTTCCAAGCTGGGAGAAAAGCGCTGGAACTAAAATGGAGGCTGATTGGAAAGAAGGATCCCATTTATCGATGAGCAGAACCAGGAGGTGATTCTGGGACAGCTGACAAAATAGAGTGCATGGATTGTTATACAGTTTCTGAAATGCTGCAGGACTTGTGCAGGACACCAGTGAGCCTGGTGTCTTTTGCTATTGTAATGGCGGTGAGTTAATCCTATCATGTCCTAAAGGTCATGTCCTCTCCTTAGAATTTGAGTGGAGGGGGATATAAATTTTTATCCCATCGCATGGAGGTGAAGATGTTTTGTTTGTGAATAGGCTGGCTCAGACTTTCTTAATGGGCACAAAAGACTTCTGCACTAAAGACTTCTGGCATCTGCTAAAGGCTGTTAAGGAAGACTAGGGCTGCTTTCTGCCTTTAAGAACATGTTTCTCCATTTCTCCTTTGGGAAAATATAATATCCTGCCTTTTTTAATATTCCTCAAAATATTTCATTCTCTAGGATGGGGGGATGGGGAGTGTGTGATTACTTCTTACACTATCATTACTATTTATGCTCTTTGGGAATGTGTTATTTTTACAATCAGGTTGAAATGTCATCAACAGTTCCAACTTCAGTCTTCCTTATATGGTTTTACCAAGGAGTGGCAGAATTTAAATCAGGGAAACATAACTCTTTTAGGAGTCAAGGATAATACATTAATTTTATTTGCATTCCAGTCCAGGACTGACTCTTCAAAAGTACAGGGAGTCCTCAACTTACAACCATTTATTTAAGGAAAGTTCAAAGTTACAATGGCACTGAAAAAAATTGACTTATGATTAATCCTCAGATTTACGACTTTTGCAAAATTCAGGCTCTTGGCAACTGGCATGTGTTTACAATGGTTGCAGCATTCCCAGGGTCATGTGATTGTCATTTGTGACCTTCCCAGCTGGTTTTTGACAAGCAAAGCCAATGGGAGGAGCAAGATTTGCTTAAAGACCACATGATTTGCTTAACAACCCGTGGCAAAAAGATTGTAAAATTATGTGCAGCTCACTTAACAGCCCCCGTAGCTTAGCAATGGAAATTCTGGTCCTAATTGTTATTGTACATTGAGAGCTACCTGTAGGTGTCAAACACGCAGAGTTTTTTCTATGATGCTCAGGAGAAAAATCTGCTTAAATTGAACTTTATTCCTTGAAAGCAGGTGAATTTTAGCCTGCTCCTCATGCCACAGATGGCCTCTGCTGCCTATGAGAGTTGATTTCCTAAACTGAAATGCACAACTAATTCCTATAGAAAGTTCTATCATTTTATATTGTTGGGTCTTCAATCTGCAAATATATTGCTGTTTAGCTGAACTACAGTGAAACACCACTTGTATTTATCTTCCCTTTTCCTTTCCTCGTTTTATTTCTTCACTAAATCATCCTTTCTAAAACCATGTCCTTTTACCCATTTCGAGTCTTGTCCTGTGAAAAAATAGCACTTGGAATTTTACTCCAATAAATGACCATTCAAGGATTGATTGATTATGCACCTTCAAGTCATTGCCCACTCCTAGCAACCAGATAGACAGACACGGATATCTTTTCTCCATATATCTATCTATACCAATGGTTTAGAGATCATTGTAACTGATCAGGATTGGCCATGCATCTAAAAATCTACTCCCACCCCCATCAACACACATGAAAAGCAGCAACAACAGTAGCAGCAGTTGCTTACGTATTGTTGTGCTTCATAAGGGCTTGCCATAATTATTAATGCTGAATGCAATTGCAACATCTTTCACCTAAGGACCTAAAACTGCTTATAAGCATTAATGAACTAAGTCTAATAACACCCAAGAGATGAAGTCAGGCTTTTGACTATTACATTCAGCAGTGACCCTCAAGTAGAACGGTGCAGGTCCATTAAGGATGAACTTAAGAAGAAGGAAGAGAGGTCAAACTCATGGATAGGAATGTGGAGGTCAGCTAAAATCCATTCTGTTTGGCTGGCCGTCTTGGCAGGATAGTTGAGGCATTTTCAAAACTAAAAATAAATCTGCAAGATCAAAAGGAAATTGCATCAGATGGCTTTGGGGCAGGAAAGTGTTCTTCAAATTTATTCATGTACATTTTCTGTATTAATAATAGGGCAGCTTCCTTTG